GGGGGGAGGGGGCAGACTAAGGCCCCTGTGGTGTGAGAGGGAGTGGGGCTGCCCAGCCAGGGTGAGGCAGGGTGCAAGGCAGAGCCATGAGCATCTCATCCTGGGAAGTCAGAGGGGGCAGGGGGGAGGCAGCTCCCACTACTATACATACCCTGGGAGGGCATGTGACTCTGGATCTGCATGCGGAGCAAGGGCGGGCTGGGGCCTGGGCTGCGCTAGGTTCCACTAGGGGCTGGCAGCAGAACTGACAGCAGGGGCTATGGAGATTTTTAGGGTGGATGCAGCCCCCCCCATAGACCTACTCCCAGTGCTGCCACTGCTCACCCCAAGCACAGTCCAGCCCAGCCCTGCTGCCAGGAAGAACTTGGCACAGCCCTAGCCCCAGCTCGCCTTTGCCCTGCACACAGACCAGGGGCACATGCCCCCCATGCCCTCCCGGGGTGCGCACAGTGGTGGCAGCTGCTCCCCTGGATGAGCCACACACGGGCCTGCCCCTGCCTCAGCCCCACTCCCTCCATCACTGTGGGGGGGCCTTGATCTTCCCCTCGTCCCTTCCCCCATAACAGACTTACCAGCCAGATACTGCTGTCCAAGCCGCCAGGCCACATATCGTCAATCGGGTCAGTATGGGCTGATATGGCTCCTTAAAAATTGGCCATCGATATCGGCCAAAAAATTGTCTATTGGTGCACCCCAATATAAAACATGTAATGCAGCCAACCCTTGCAAGTTATAAAAAGGCTACTTTTGAGCTGAAGCTGCTTCACTTTGCAAAATAAAATGTCCAAAAAGAGGTGCACAGAAATTTGTGGGTCTGTTCAAAGTAAAGCTGCACTGAGGCTGAAGAGCTAGCCCAAAAACTGGGGTAAGAAAAATGGTGGCTTATACCTACCTACCTTCTCAGGTTGAGTTAAGTTCAGCTCAGTCAGGTACAAAGACAGGGAATCTATTTTCAACATACTAGTTTAACTTGCATTACACATAGCACCTGTTATACCAGTTCATCTCACTTTCAGTGTACTCTAGCTATTGTCCCCTATAATTTTGTAATAGCTAAATTTACAGCTTTGACTTTGAAATAAGATTATTTTAACTATACATTGCATTACACAACTGAAATCAGAAGGGAACACTACAAGCCAAAAGTATATTGCCTATTCATAGGGTACTGCTATTTGGCTCTCATTTTTTAGTTATGCCATAAGATATATTTAGAATTTATGCTTACAAACCCATGCTTAAAAACAAGATAAATCAGCATTTGCTATTCTGCTGTGGTTCAAATAAATCATCAGGATGAGATCAAGGGTTAAGTACATTGAGTTGTGTATGTAGACAGGTACAACTAAGTAATTAAGCTTCCAGGAAATAGAGTCTACCCTTTTAAGAAAAGGAGAAAGTTAATCTTACACCCACAAAATGCAGACAGCTTGGCAAGTCTTCTGATATTCGAAGCATGATTTGCAGAATTTACATTTTTGGAAATAGCATCTAATAAATCAAGTAAAGCTCATATTTTCATGTCTATCTGGGGAACAGGGGAACTTATTCCTAAAAAGAGGAGAATAAATAGTGATCAGCTGCAATGCTCCAGAACACATTCCATCTAGGAATCAAAGAGTGTTTTGTCTACAGTTTCAGAGTACCAGTATGCAATTTGATTATGTAGTTTTGAGATTACTAATTAGGCGATGCTACTTCATTTGACTTCAGAATGTCAACATTCCCATCACCAACAACAGGAAATGCAATTTTCTTTAGCAATGCAGAGAAATAGGGACAAAATGAAAAAAGAAATTACTACCACCACCAAGAACATAACATAAGGACTTCTGTTAACAGAAGTCTCACTGAAAGATTTTTTTTTTTTTTTTTTTAAAAAAAAAAAAAAATTCTTCCCCCCCCCAAAACATAAAAAAAAGGCTTCTTTTAAAAAAAGTCTCCCCGAAAGATTTTTTTTTTTTTTTAAAAAAAAAAAAAAATCTTTCGGGGAGACTTTTTTTAAAAGAAGCCTTTTTTTTATGTTTTGGGGGGGGGAAGAATTTTTTTTTTTTTTTTTTTAAATAGAAAAAGACATTACCTCAACAAAGCAAAAAGTTTTAAGAGCCAGTCACCAGACTGATAGGTTTTAAGTTTTAGGACTGTAATTTTTTTTTTTTAAAGGAGGGATGGGGCTAAATACTGTCTCTCTTTGAAGGCCAAATTCATAACCAATTGATGTACTTATTAATATAATTTATGGTCAGAGCACCATTACTGAAATTTTTTTAAAAGAAGAAATGGAATTTAAGAATATTTTTCTTCCACAGAATTAAATACATGTTCTTCTACTGCTCTGTGCCTTTAGTATAAGGTAGGATATAAATCTAATCATATATACAGAACTGTATAGTTTAAAGTGCTGTGATACTTTGAAAACTGTGAAGGATCCACAATCTTGTAGCGGTGTTTGAGACATGGAGATGACTCCTATGACAGTCAATTTTAAATGGGACTATTTACAATAGCCTTTTACACTGGCAAATAATGTTCAAAGGAACATCTAAATCAAAAAAGGCCTCGTCATCTTGAGAGCGCCCTGTCCAACATTATGTGCCTTAAGATATTTCCAACTTTTCTAAAAGCAACTGTTTTGTAAATTATGCTTAATATAATAAAGTGAATATGACCACAAAAGTGCCTACATGTTCAAAGATGCCTTTCAGAGTTAAGTAAACTCAAAAACAAAAAACACTACCAGCCATCATAAAGGCACTCACTTGCAACTTAAAGAAAATTCTAAGGCCCAGACTTCCAAGTTCCAATCCCAGCTCTGCTATTAAAAATAGCTTACATACATAATACTCATACACTACAACCTGACCTGGAAGCAATAGGCTTCTATTGA